GGGGGGGGGGGGGGGGTGGGGGGGAAGCAGGCGAGAGGAGGGAAAACCCATCGATGGGCGGTGGGTGATGGGGAGTTGTGGCGAGGGACCTCGTGCACCCCAAGTCCTTACCTGTGCCCCAGCAGCCGCAGCCACATCCTGGAGATCTGCGATGTTTGGTGCTGGGAGATCCTGAATCCAGCAGTGCCAGTGTTGGGGGGAAGAAAGGGGCTGCGCAGAGGCCAGGAGTGCCCTAAAACCCACTGGTATCAACAAGGGGTTGCAACATCTGGGGAAGGAAGGACCCAATTTGTGTCTCTTTCACCTCACTTTTTCCTCCTCCCATGTCTGGGACTGACTACTCAGTCCCAGAGCATCTTCTCGGCCAGGGCCCGCATCCTGTTCACCACCTGACACCAGAGAGCGATCAACGCTCCGGCGCCTTTAATTTCTTTTCCTCCGTGATTTCATGAAGGCTTTTGCAAGTTGGAAGTAGGTCAAGAACTTGTTTCCAAGTCATTAAATGAAGTCCCTGGGTTCACAGCGGTGTTTGCACCTTCTTAATAGTCAATTCGCTCACTTGCCGTTCATTTAAATCGCAGCCAATTTCCCTAAGTGGAGATGGGCGGCTCGAGGGGACCTTGCAATGAAAACGCCTCCGACGGCTCCTCGGGCTCCCCAAGAGCGGAAAAAGGCACTAGAAGAGCAAAAAACAGCAAAATGCCTCAAACTTCCTCAAGAAGAGGGGTTGCTGGGGGTGGGTGAGGCTGCGAGGGGGTGTTTGGGTGCTCAGGGTGGGGATGTGGGGACCTGTATCATCCTTTGGGGCAGGGAGCTGGGCTTTGCTTTCCCTCCCGGGGAGGGGGGCAGGATCTGGCCAGCCCCTGGGAGCCCCGTTAGCCCCAATGATGCTCCATCTGCTGTGGGGACCCCCAGCCCTGGGGGCCACAGGAAACATCCTTTAGGGGACCAAGAACATCGAAACATCCCTTATGGGGACTGAGAGCATCAGGCATCTGCTAACAGGCCAGATCCTGACCTGCAGCTCTGCCTGGGGGGTGTTTTTTACCTAAACCCCAACATTTTTTTTGAGCAAAACTCCTAGGAACAGGATATTTCTGCCTCAGACAACCAGGATAAGCTCAGCGGTGGAGGGAGAGATGCTCTTGCATCATCTTCGGACGTAACACAGGAGGGAATTCGAGGCAGAATGAAAACCCCAAATCTCTTCAAAATGCAGCGAAATGAAAAGTTAAATCCCCGGTGAGCCCCAGGCATATGGTGTTCGGGAGAAAATCACCCGGCTGAAGGATAATAACCCATCGGGGGGTAAGGAAGCCCCGCTCGGCTCCTGCCACGCCGCAGCGCGGAGGGGAGGGCAGAGGGTTTATTCCAGCCCGATGCGCAGATGCTGCTGCTGAGATCAAGGGCAGGAGGCAGCCGGGAGGAGCATCCTGCCTGCGCTGCCTGCACCGGCCTCGCCAACACCAACAAAATATACAGCTGGACTGTCAGGGCTTTTCAGTCTTTGGGGAGAATATTTTAAGGGGGGGAACTTTTTTTTTTTTTCTGGGAAGGAGCTTCTTCCCATATATATTTTTTATCCTTGCTGGAAAAAATCAGGGAGGGAATATCCCCCTCCCCTGCCCGCATGGCTGGGTGAGGACACTCGGAAGGGCAACAGGCAGGTTTGCTCCTGCCTACAAATGCCAGAGCCACATCCCTGGGGTACTGGCAGCAGAAAAGCTGCAGTTTCAGTAATGGGGAAAAAAAATCCCCTAAAAATCCCCCTTTCCCCAGCCTCTATGCTCAGAGTTGGCTGTGGGGGTGCTTCTGTCTCCTGGTGCATCAAACCCCCCAAAATCCAGAGCAAGCCTCTGTGTGCTCAGGGACGCTGGGTGGTTGGGAATCCCCCCGCTGCAGGGTGTCCCGTTTGGGGGTTCACCCCTCTGCCCCCTCCCTCCCCACGGCAGGCTCCCCTGGGGGCTCTGAGGGTGCTGTATCCCATCTGGAAGCAGGTGCTGTGCCAAGCCGTGTCCTGCTTTGCTGAAAATTAGGTGGCTGGGGACTGGCAGGGGATGTGGGGTGCTGCTGTGTGCCCACACATGGTGGGCACAACGACACACGTGGGATGCCCACATGCCCTGTCCTGGTGCGAGGGTGCAATGTGCAGGCAGGCTATGCTTGCAGGCAGGTTGTGCAGGCAGGCTGTGCAGGCAGATCATGAGTGCGGCCACGCTGTGAGTGCAGGCAGCAGTGAGTGCAGGCAGTGACTGCAGGCAGCAGTGAGTGCAGGCAGCAGTGAGTGCAGGCAGCAGTGAGTGCAGGCAGCAGTGAGTGCAGGCAGGCTGTGGGTGCAGGCAGCAGTGGGTGCAGGCAGCAGTGGGTGCAGGCAGCAGTGGGTGCAGGCAGGCTGTGGGTGCCCGCGTGCTGCCTCTCCTGCCCGCAGGCTCCAGGCAGCGGCTGCTCCCCATCCCCATCCTCAGCCGCTGGATCTCCCGGGCTCAGCCCGGATCCGGGAATCCCGACCCCGCTCACCCCAAGGGAACCAGCTCGGTGCCCACCTCGCGCCCGGCGTGCCTGAGCACATGGGGGTCTTGCCCCAGATTTTGAGGGGCTTTCACTATGCAGCTCCCCCCGACCAGCACTGGGGGGGGAGGCTGAGGTTGGGGAAAAGGTTTTTTTTAGGGAATTTCCTCCCCCGCCATCCCCACCACGGAAACTGCAGCCTCTCCGCTGAGGCTCTCCGGGATGTGGCCGTCACCTTTGCAGACAGGAGCCAACCCGCCCATCGAGGGTGCTAACAAAGCCACACTAGCAGGGGAAGGGGATATTCCCCTCTCTGATTTTTCCTAGAAAAGGGAAAAATTAGATGGGAATATTTTCCATCCCAGAAAAAAAGGGGTATTTTCCCCTGAAAGTGTTTTGCCCAAGTAGTAAAACTGTGCAAATCCCTTTTTTTCTGCCCCAAAACGGCCCAGCTGAAGCAGCAGCAAGTAGAGGGGAGCCCAGGATGGGGAAGGGCACATGGTGGCCTGGCCGGGGTGTCCCCATGGGCAGAGGATGGGGTGACCAGCAACACCTTGTGCGAGTTGACGGGGCTGGGCCCCTGTGCCACCATGCCCACCCCCACATCACCATGTGCTCTGGACACCTGGGTTCCCCCTCAGGGATGTCAGGGACAGGGGGCTTTTATTTAAAAGCAATTAAATACATAATCATGTACCCCAAAAAATCGCTGCCTAGACATGGGGGGTGGCATGGCTTGAGATGCAGCTGGGGGACAGGGGGGCTGCTGCCCCATGGGGGCACGACTCCCTGCCTGCTGCACCCTGGGGTGATGGTGCACCCAGGGTGATCAGTGGGGGGCTTCGGGC